CTGGGATTACAGGCACGTGCCACCATGCCCAGCTCATTTTTTGTATTTTTAGTAGAGACGGGGTTTCACCATGTTGACCAGGATGGTCTCGATCTCTTGACCTCGTGCTCCACCCGCCTCGGCCTCCCAAAGTGCTGGGATTACAGGCTTGAGCCACCGCGCCCGGCTGTACTTTTTTTTTTTTTAATGTATACAAATCTGTCAGTCCTTCTCTATATGACATCGGGGTTTTATGCCTTGTTTGGGAAAACTTTCTCGAGCCTATGATTTATAAAATATTTTTCAAAAGTTTCTTCCAGTACATTTGTAGTGTTTAACCATGATCTATCTGAATTTATTTTTGTGTTTTGTATGGGGTGCACAGTACTGGTTTCCCAGAGCTGTCTTCACAAGTTACTACAGCCTGGGGTGCCTAGGACAGCAGACATTTCCTCACAGTCCTGTGGGCAGAGGTCTGAAATCAACAAGCTGAAGGACTGGTTTCTTTTCGGAGGCTCTGAGGGAAGAACCCTCCCATGCCTGTCTCTCTGCATCTGGGGCTGACGGCAGGCCTCGGCATTCCTTGGCTTGTGGATTCGTCATTCCAGTCTCATTCCGTCCTCACATCCCTTTGGCTCTGTGTTTCTGTGTCGTCTTCTAACTGGATTTAGGGGCCACCCCAATCCAGGATGACCCCATCTCAATCCTCACCTTAATCATATCTGCAAAGAGCCCATTTCCAAATAACGCCATACGCTGAGGCTCTGGGTAGACACGAGCTGTGCGGAACACTGCTTCACTTCCTACTTTGTCCAACTAGAAGGCTCATCGTTTCTGTGGCTTTCCTAGGTAGTCCTTTTCCTCACAAGTATGACATGCTCGTCACAGATAAAATTTAGTAGGTCTGAAGCCAGGTGTGGTGGCTCATGCCTGTCATCCCAGCACTTTAGGAGGAAAGAGGGAGGATGGCTTGAGGCCAGGAGTTTGAGACCAGCCTGAGCAACAGAGTGAGACACACCCCTGCCACCTTTATTTTTTTGAGACAATGTCTCCGTCTGCCCCTCAGGCTGGATGCAGTGGCACCATCACGGCTCACTGCAGGCTCAACCTCCTTAGGCTCAGATGATCTCCCACCTCAGCCTCCCAAGGAGCTGGGGCTATGGGCATGCACCACCACAGCCAGCTAAGTTTTTTTTTTTTTTTTTTTAAGAGACGGTATTTCACCATTTTGCCCAGGCTGGTCTGGAATTCCTGGTCTCAAGCAGTCTGCCCACCTTGGCCTCTCAAAGTGCTGGATTTACAGAAGTGAGCCAGTGTGCCTAGCCCTTAAATATTTTTTAAACCTGAGTCCGAAAATGCTGCTTTCAGATAGGTGTGACTATCCGCAAACAAACCAGATTTTGCATTTATAGCAAAAGAAATTTGTATGTTAAAGTACTTTGAAAAACACAGTGCATATATAAAAGCACTACATCCTTAGTTCCTTGTGTGAATTACACAGCAATCATAGCATTGTGTACAAAAGCAAAGTCTCCCTGTAGTGCAGCTGCCATCCCTGTTTGTGGAAACCATGTGTTTGGGGGTGACTGTGCTTCTTAGCCTCAGAGTTTGCTCTTGCGAAGAACTCAGGATAAAAAAAAAAGGAAGCTGCAGCCTGGAGCCTGGGTAAGGCCAGCCTAGGGAACCTTTAATCCAGTGGGTGCTTACTGGGAAGCTTCTCAGCAGGGGACTATGCTTGGGAATCCAGTGTAAATAACAATCATCCCCTGTCTGTGCTGGGCACAGTTTAACATTTTGCAAATATGATCTCATTTAATTCTCCCAGCCATCCTGGAGGGTAGGTGGAGGAACCCCATTTTGCTGGGGAAGGAGGCAGTGTTTTCTCCATGCCAGCAGCTTCTGGGTGGTGGGGCCAGGGCTGGACCCAGGTTCTCTGATCCCAGCTCCAGTGCTGCAGGCCACGGCTGTCCAGACAGACAGCTCCTACAGTCAGGGAGAAGCACACACACATTAGCGCAGAGCTATGCTCATCAGGTAAACTAAGTGAAGGAGAAATTCAGAGCAGGGTGATTAATTTCTTTCTGGCCACACTCAGAGTCCTAAGAGCAAGACATCTCATTCTTTGCGCCGTTCCTTCAAATGCAGTGTGGCTGTAGTTGGGGCTAGCCTGCAGCAAATGAAGTTCCACAGAAGGCTGTTGCTCTCCTTCTCTTCCTACGCCTCCATCCTCCTTCTCCGTGTCTGACTGTCCTTTTCCTCTTGTTCTGTGGTTGTGCCAATCTTTGCATCTTCATTTCTATGTCCATCTTCCTATATTGAAGTGTGTATTGGTATTGTGTGCGTATGTGCGTGTTTTGAGACAGGATCTCACTCTGTCGCCCAGGCGACAGAGTTGTCCAGTGCTGTGCTTACAGCTCACTGCAGCCTCAACCTCCTGAGTTCAAGCAATCCTCCCGCTGCAGCCTACCAAGTAGCTGGGACTACAGGTGTGTGCCACCACACCCGGCTAATTTGCGTATTATTATTTTTTTTTTTTGCCATGTTGCCCAGGCTGATCTCAAACTCCTGGGCTCAAGTGATCTGCCCACCTTGGACAGATCCCCAAGTGCTAGGATTACTGTTGTGAGCCACTGTGCCAGCCTCTGTTAGGATTTCTAAAGGAGATAAGTGGACAGAGACCTCTAAGTTCCGTCTTGGTTCTGGAGCGTACTCTGTGAAGGTGTTTCCTGTGTGACCTCAATTGTTTTTCATGTAGATGGTTTTCCCAGATAGGAGGAAAAGGTCCTTGATCAAGGGTAGTTGCCCACATATCACCTATCTTAATGGCATTCACTTGAGAACTCGCAAAGTATTTTAAAAGTAAATACAGTATTTTCCATTTAAGGCTGAAGAAACCAGGAAGCAGATATTCCCTAATGATAGTGAGTGGGGTCCAGAGTTATGGGGGAGAGGGAACTGAAAGGCAGGGCGACATACTTTCGTGGTGGTAGAATCCCTCCGTAGCTCTTTACAATGGGGAGCTTTATAAATTCTGTGTTCAAGAGGGTGAGAGTCTAAATTTTGTAAGTGAGTTTTATCTTGGCATGAAGTAGACCAGATTTTCACAGGAAATCTACACAAGCAGCATAATTACTAACTCGTTAAATCCCAGCCCTGCAGCATGGAGTAGCTGAAATCACCCTGGAACATGAATCCAGCCCTAGGTTCTAACCTGGGCCTTGTCATTCACAGGGTGGCAAGTCAGTGTACTGTGCTGCACTTAGGTCTCTTCATCTGTAACATGAAAATAACATGTGTAGCCTACCTCACTGGTTATTTTGAGACCCAAGTGAGATAATGCATGTGAAAGCGCTTTGAAAATTTATAAAGTTACATATATTGAAGTGTTCATAGCAGCATCAGAGCCCATAAATTCACCATACACATTTATATTTATGAGTCGATAATCAGGAACAGCACTAATCGGAAACTATATTGTGAAAAAGTGTTACTCTCTCCTGGCTTACCAGGTTTGACGGCAGTATACTCATTTGGCACGTGGACCGAAGGCAGAAGTCCTGAGTTTAAATCCCAACTCTGCCACCGGCAGTGTGACCTTCGGCAATTTTTAAATTGTTCTGGTCTGAGTCTCATTTTACTGATACACACACTCATACACACACACACACACTCACACACACAGTGAGAATAACATTTGTTGTGAGCATTTAATGAGACAATGAACACAAAACATTTGATATAGGGCCCAGCAGGTAGTAAGTGCTCAACCAATTGAGCTTTAGAAAATATGAAACATGTATTGAACACTTAGAACGTGCCAGGCCTAGGCCAGGCGCGGTGGCTCACGCCTGTAATCCCAGCACTTTGGGAGGCCGAGGCGGGCAGATCACAAGGTCAAGAGATTGAGACCGGGCCGGGCGCGGTGGCTCAAGCCTGTAATCCCAGCACTTTGGGAGGCCGAGGCGGGTGGATCACGAGGTCAAGAGATCGAGACCATCCTGGTCAACATGGTGAAACCCCGTCTCTACTAAAAATACAAAAAATTAGCTGGGCATGGTGGTGCGTGCCTGTAATCCCAGCTACTCAGGAGGCTGAGGCAGGAGAATTGCCTGAACCCAGGAGGCGGAGGTTGCGGTGAGCCGAGATCGGGCCATTGCACTCCAGCCTGGGTAACAAGAGCGAAACTCCGTCAAAAAAAAAAAAAAAAAAAAAAAGGAGATTGAGACCATCCTAGCCAACATGGAGAAACCCCGTCTCTACTAAAAATACAAAAATTAGCTGGGTGTGGCTGTGGGTGCCTGTAATCCCAGCTACTCAGGAGGCTGAGGCAGGAGAATTGCTTGAACCCGGGAGGTGGAGGTTGCAGTGAGGCAAGATCACACCACTGCAGTCCAAACCTGGTGACAGAGCAAAGCTCTATATAAAAAAAAAAAAAAAAGAATGTGCCAGGGCTAACTTGGGGTACAAAATGAAAAGACACAGTCCTTGTTTCAAAGACCTAACAGTCTGGTGGAGAAACATACATACAAATAAAAAAACTAACAGACTCATTACTCAAAATGCAAAGGCAGATTTAGAAAACAAATTTTTCTAAATCATTACTGGAAGAGACATAGAATGTCTCTTTCCTTCTTAGAGAAGGAAACAGCTGATTCAAGACTTTTGAAGGATGAGCAGAAGTTTGTGTAAACCAGGCTCGGTGTTTTTTACTTGGCTTTATCATTTGCCCACAGAGGTTTGACCACTTGAGAAGCGAAGGTTCATGTTTATGCTGTTAGCTTTATGGTGATTCAACCTAAACATTCTGGTGACTTCACTGAGCATGGTGTTGAAACTCATTTCACTTGCTATTTTCTATACATGAAACATCTGCTGTTTTGTCTTCAATTGATAAAGATGCCTTACAAGCTGTACGAACAGCTTCTTGTGTAGGGTAGATTGGTTCCCTGCCACTTAAAAGTGCAGCATACCCAGTGCCAAGTTGCCGGTCCCTTTAAGGAGGAAGAGCAGGGAGGACTCGTAACCACTTGTCACTCTCTGGAAACGCTGGTGCTGGAGGTGACTGTGATAATGCATAGCAGACAAAGTGGAATACACAGAGTTGTTTTCCTGGGGAGAATGCGGAGTTCACAGATAGCTGGTTTTGTCCACCAGGAAATGTGAAAATACAGAGAGCTTTGCATTTGTCAGAGACCTTGGTACCAAACTGACGTGGCTTTCTCATTTCACGAAGTATGTTAGCAGTGAATTTGGGAGCTAGAGTAGAAATTCCAGGCTTTTCTTTAGGCTGTCTGCTGCCTTGATGTTGGCTGAGTCCCTTTTCTTAACAACACCTAAGAAGATGTTGGCGGCTACATTCATTCCAAAAGGTCACAACCAAATAACTAATACTTCCTTTTTTTTTTTTTTTGAGACGGAGTTTCGCTCTTGTTACCCAGGCTGGAGTGCAATGGCGTGATCTCGGCTCACCGCAACCTCCGCCTCCTGGGTTCAGGCAATTCTCCTGCCTCAGACTCCTGAGTAGCTGGGATTACAGGCACGCACCACCATGCCCAGCTAATTTTTTGTATTTTTAGTAGAGACGGGGTTTCACCATGTTGACCAGGATGGTCTCGATCTCTTGACCTCGTGATCCACCCGCCTCGGCCTCCCACAGTGCTGGGATTACAGGCGTGAGCCACCGCGCCCGGCCAACTAATACTTCCTTTCCTTAAAAGGAAAATTATCTTTTAAGCCTGAGAACCATTTTCAGGCTCCGTAATAATTGAATACAAATTGAAAAAACCAAAAGCTGTGCTCACTATACCAGTTCCTACATCAGTAACTGCGGTGTTAAAGTCATTTAACTGAAAAGAAATCATCTGCCACTTTACAGAAGTCATAGAATCATAAGAATCTCAAGCTGGAAGAGCCTTAAAGGGCTAGTAATCCAGTCTCCCTCTCATTTCACAACCCAGAGAGCTGAGCCCAGCTATTCCGAAGTCCTCACATGGGATTCTGGTCAGCATTTTGCATGATGTTGCTCTGAAGAGACCTTTATATTTGTAGTAACATAAATGAACTGTATTTCCCGCCCCCTACATTTGTTAGCTTAGGAAGATACAGACCAAAGCAAAAGAAAGCTGCAGGTTCCTAAAGGAGAGAATCCAGTGATACTGAAATTACTGTCCTCATCCAGGTGACTGGCACTTAGCGCAAATGAAATATATTCCAATTCATTCCTGTTTAGGACGGCTGTCCCGATAGCTTTTTTTTTTTTTTTTTTGAGACAAGAGTCCTGCTCTGTCGCCCAGGCTGGAGTGCAGTGGTGCGATCTCGGCTCACTGCAACCTTCGCCTCCCGGGTTTAAGCGATTCTCCTGCCTCAGCCTCCTGAGTAGCTGGGATTACAGGCACCCGCCACCACACCCAGCTAATTTTTGTATTTTTAGTAGAGACAGGATTTCGGCATGCTGGCCAGGATGGTCTCGAACTCCTGACCTCAGGTGATCCGCCTCCCAAAGTGCTGAGATGACAGGCCTGAGCCACTGCTTGTAAATAATGACACATTGTGAACAACAAAACAGTCACTATGCCTCTGGATGGTATCTCCGGACAGATCCAAAGCCAAGAGGCAGCTCCCCAGAAAGCCTTCGGCCTCCACAGTCCACTCCTGGGGCAGAAGGAGAGGGGCTGCCGGATGCCGTGGCGGGGTGCATCTCAAGCTTTCTGAGGGTCCCCCCTGGAGCAGCCGCAGCAGCGGGCGGGAGGCCACGTCCTGACTCCCATCGGGAAGCACCAGGCTTGGTGGACGAGGCCGCCCTCCCTCCTTCTTTCCTTCCCGGGAGGGAGATGCCGCAGCCGCCGGCTCGCCCACCCTGCAGGTCCCTACCTGGGTTTCTCGGCCCCGCGCCCCGCCCGCCCGCCCGGGGCCGGGAGCAGAGCAGGTCTGGGGGGCGGGCGCGGCGCGGGTGACGGAACAGAAGCCCGGGAAGCCCGGCCCTTCCCGCCTGCGCTCGGCCCCGTGGGTCCGGGAGGCGGCGTCGGTGGACTCGGAATCGCGCGCGCCGCGGCCCAGGCGAGAGCCTCCGCCCCCGCCCGCCCGCCAGCCTGCAGGGGACGCCGCGGAGCCCTCGGGCGGGAGACGCCGGGAGACCCCGCCCCGCCCCATCGCGGCCGCCGGGCTTGGTCACGCGCAGAGCCGCGCCGCCGTGGGATCGGGGCCAGCGCCGCGGGATCTGGGCCAGCGCCCGGGCGAGGGCGGCGGGTAGAAAGCGCGCGGCCGGGCAGGGGCGCGCCCAGCCCAGCCTAGCCCAGCCACGCCGTGCGGCGCCAGCGAGGCGGCCGGACCCGCAGCCCTCATGCTGCCGACGCTGGCCGGAGGCACGCTCTTCTTCCCGGGCCTCTTCGCGCTCTGTTCCTGGGCGCTGCGCCGCTGGCGGCCCGAATGGACCCGCACGGACCGCGTGATGATCAGCACCAGGTAGCCGGGCCGAGGCCAGCGCTGCCCCCGCCCTCCCCACCCACCGGCTGCGCGGGGCCCAGGGCGGAAAACGGGCGGCAGGAAGCCTGGGGGCCCCTCGGGGTCGCGGCCGCCCTAGCTTCCCGGAGACCCTCCACGTCCGGACCTGGAGGGAGCGGGGCGGCGGGGCCGGGGCTGGGGTTGGGGCCGGGGCGGGCGGGGAGCGCCGGGGAGTCTCCGGAGCCAGCTCCCCGCGTCCGCCCGCAGCTGGGGCCGGCCGGGTGGGAGAGTCGGGCTCCGCGGTCCTCGGGACTGGACCGAGCGCGCGCTCTCTCTCCGTTTTCCTCCCCGCCCGCGCTAGGCTGGTGTCCTCGGTGCAGGCGGTGCTGGCCACCGGCTCGGGGATCGTCATCATTCGCTCCTGCAACGACGTGGTCACCGGCAGGTAACAGCCAGGCCCGAGGACCGTGTTGGAAACGCTCACATTCTGTGGCTCGCAGCAGGCGCCGGCTCCTCTCAGCACAGGCTCTTAGATTCTAGCTGACTGTGGGAAAAGCGGGCACCGCCATAAGCTCCTCTTCCTCTCGGAGTCTCTGAGCATCCCCAGCTTAGGAGAAAGTCCGCAGAAATGAGAAAGGACGACCAAGTCGGAGTCTGATTTCAGGTGGTGCGAGCCGACAGTGTGGCCAGGGACCCAGGTCCTTCGTGAGGCAGATGAGCGTGGAAATATTTAGAGCCGGGCGGGTGGCTGCTGGTTTCCTTTAGCTGGTGTCACCGGCTGCCCACTCTGGAGCATCACTGGCCGATATACGTCCGGTGTGGTTAACAGAGCCCGGCGTGGAAAGGAACAAACGCGCCGCCCCTGTCCACGCAAACGCTGCTCTTGGTTCCCCTTTAGATTCGCTAAAAGGTGACTGAGAGGTTTCCAGTGCTTTCCCAAGGCCGACCTGTGTGTCTATGAGAGCTCAGTCCAGAGACGGGTCAGGAAATGTGCATCTGTCTGCAGTTCCATGAAACAAATCATACATTAAGACCAGAGAGTCTACTTTGCAGAGTATTTAGACCTGGGCGAAGTGGTGCTTTTATTATTTTATTTTAAGCTTTTCCCCCTACCTGTCTTGCTAGAATCACACGCACTTTCTCCCAAGTTGAAGAACCACAGTTGGTTGTGCAGGAAAGTTGATCGGCCTTTCCAGACCTTCCTCTCCTGTGGGCTCTGCCCTGTCCTGCTTCTCACCTGTTGAGACCCAGCTGCCAGGGACCTGAGCAGGGCGTCTTTCTCACTCTAGCCTGCAGTCTCACTTGGGATTGATCCTGCTGTCATGATTTTTGTGCTTTTCTTCTGTCTTTTTAAAAACAAAACTGGCTATTGGCAATGAATGGTAGATGCTAAGAGAAGATAGACCAAGTGACCTTGATTTGTATACACCAAATGCTAATATTTGCTTAGCTGGGTTCAATATTTCTTCTTCTTTTTTTTTTTAAAGACAGGGTCTCACTGTGTTGCCCAGGCTGGTCTTGAACTCCTGGGCTCAAGTCATTTTTCTGCCTCACCCTTTCAAAGTGCTGGGATTACAGGCATGAGCCACCGCACCCAGCACATTTTTAATTATTTTTTTCCCTGCAGAGACAGGGTCTCACTCTGTCGCCCAGGCTGGGGTGCAGTGGCGTGATCATAGCTTACTGTAGTCTTGAACTCCTGGGTTCAAGCCATCCTTCTTCCTCAGCTCCCAAATAGGTCGAACTACAGGCACACACTGGTTAACTTTGTTTTGGTAGAGACAGGGGTCTCCCTATGTTGCCCAGGCTGGTCTTGAACTCCTGGCCTCTAATGATCCTCCTGCCTGCAGCTCCCAAAGTGTTAGAATTATAGGTGTGAGCCCCTGCGCCTGGCCAAAAATGGCCCTTCAGGGTTCATATACTATACACTAAGTATTTTTCTATCATATGCCTTCTCATTTTATGCCTTCATATAGAGTGTGGTGACAAAGGAGGGGTTATCTATAAATCCCCCCAAATTATAGGCAGACTCTGGTATGGGGCCAATGATTTAGTCAGATTCTTAAGGGGGTTCAGACCCCTAAAATGGCCAAGTCACAGCTCCAGGCAGTTTTCTCAGTTTAAGTACTTAATTCAGATAGTACTTTGTGGTTTTTAGACAGGGTCTTGCTGTTACCCAGGCTGGTCTGGAAGTCCTGGGCTCAAGCTATTCTCCCAACTTGGCCTCGCAAAGTGCAGGGATTGTAGGTGTGAGCCCTGAGCGGAGCCTGTATAGTACTTTTTACATTTAAAAGGACATTCCCCCACCCTTATTATTATTTTTTAATCGAGATGGAGTCTTGCTCTGTCACTCAGGCTGGAGTGCAATGTTGCAGTCTTGGCTCACCACAACCTCTACCTCCCAGGTTCAAGCAATTCTCCTGCCTCCGCCTCTGAGTAGCTGGGATTACAGGCATGTGTCACCACACCTGGCTGATTTTTGTATTTTTAGTAGAGCCAGGGTTTCACCATGTTGCCAGGCTGGTCTCGAACTCCTGAACTCAGGTGATGCACCCGCCTTTGCCTCCCAAATTGCTGGGATTATAGGCGTGAGCCACTACAGCTGGCCAGCTCTAGAATTGTAAAGAAAATGGCCAGGGTTGCCTCCCAGAAACTCCCTAGAGTGGGGTTGCAAGCAGATGCAAGAGAAGACTCACAGGTTCAGGATTTAAGTTAGTAAACTTCTAACTTGAGCAACTGAGGAGTTAAACTGGAAATACTGGATTTGCAATTTGGGACACTTTCCAAATCAATTTGCATATGTATCTAATCAAAGTCAGTATGTATCACAAAATGCCAGAACATCTATTATAAATTAGTAGCTAAGTCAGGCAAATAGTGGCAGCTAGCTGCTTAAAATAGGCAGGGCTGAGTGATGCTTTTTCCTTTGATGCTCATGCACTAGCCCTGGAACTTAAAGAAAGTTGTCTACTGCATTTATCACTTTCGACATCTTGATTGTGAAGTATGTGGGGTAAGAAGAGCTGATCAAGCACCAAGTTTGGCTCTGAGACTTCACGATGGATAGCCAGTCATCTCACAGGCCGCGCGTATGCTTTCTTTCAGGCACTGGCTTGCCCGGGAATATGTGTGGTTTCTGATTCCATACATGATCTATGACTGTTACGCCATGTACCTCTGTGACTGGTACCGAGCCAGAGACCAGGATCGTGCACACTCCCTCACGCTTCGAAGCTTCCTCAGTCGAAACCGCCTCATGATCACACATCATGTAGTCATCCTCTTTGTCCTTGTACCGGTGGCGCAGGTACGGCCTTCCAGGACAGCAGACCCGCAGCCTTGGTCACGCCTTTTCTCCTGTTGAGCTGCATGTCTAGGTGTCTTTTTTTTTTGAGTTGGAGTCTTGCTCTGCTGCCCAGGCTGGAGTGCAATGGGGTGATCTCAGCTCATTGCAACCTCCGCCTCCCGGGTTTACCTGATTCTCCTGCCTCAGCCTCCTGAGTAGCTGGGATTACAGGCACCCACCACCATGCCTGGCTAATTTTTTGTATTTTTAGTAGAGATGGGGTTTCGCCATGTGTTGGCCAGGCTGGTCTCAAACTCCTGACCTCAAATGATCCACCCGCTTTGGCCTCTCACAGTGCTGGGATTACAGGCGTGAGCCACTGCGCCTGGCCTGAGCTGGACGTGTTGACCGTCCTAAGGACTCAGGCTGCCCCTCATTTGTTTCCTGCTCATGGGCAGCCATTCTTGTGCCTGCTGCTCCAGCAGCCACCTCCCCCAGGGGAAAAGTGGAGGAACACCATCGCATCTGAAACATTCGTGATCCATCAACATACTTTGTTTTCTTTTTTGAGACAAGGTTTCACTCTGTCACCCAGGCTAGAGTGCAGCAGTGTGATCACAGCTCACTGTAGCCTCGAACCAGTGGCCTCAAGTGATCCTCCTACCTCTGCCTCCCAGGTAGCTGGGAGCACGGGCACATGCCACCACAACCAGCCAATTCCTGTATTTTTTGTAAGGGTTTCTACATGTTGCCCAGGCTGGTCTCAAACTCTTGAGCTCAAGTGATTCTCCTGCCTAGGCCTCCCAAAGTGCTGGGATTACAGGCATGTGCCACCAAGCCCGGCCCCAACATTCTTTTTAACAAACACGTAGCCCTTTGAGATTCTTTAGCATTTGTCAGAGGCTCTGTCCTTAGTTCAGTATAAGATAAACATGACATAAAATACAAATATAATACAAAGCAACATAACGTGCCGGAGAGCACTGTGTGCATTTTTCTGACGTCACAAAAACACAGACTCTCAAAGCAAACAGCTTCCTAATTTCTCCCCAGATCCATTTCCCCATAAAAACCCACCCAAAAAGGAAAAGAAATGGGAATGCTAAGGGGAAACCCCTAGTTCTTGAATGCCTGCTCAGGGAAGACATGTGTTTTATTTTTTTAAATTATTTATTTATTTTGAGACAGAGTTTTGCTCTGTTGTCCAGGCTGGAGTGCAGCGGCGGGATCTCAGCTCACTGCAACCTCCGCCTCCAGGGTTCAAGTGATTCTCCTACCTCAGCCTCCGGAGTAGCTGGGACTACAGGCACACACCACCATGCCTGGCTAATTTTTGTATTTTTAGTAGAGATGGGGTTTCACCATATTGGTTAGGCTGGTTTTGAACTCCTAACCTCAGGTGATCCACCCACCTCAGTCTCCCAGAGTGCTGGGATTACAGGTGTGAGCCACTGCAACCAGCCAGGCATGTGATTTAAAAGTTCATAGCTTGCTAAATATTAGAAACTATTAGCCTGATACTGTTGACGAAGAAACTGAGGCTCTAAGAGTTTTCTTACCATCTCACTGAGTGGTACTAGGTGGCAGAGCTGGTATTTTACTATGCTTACTGCTTTCTTGAAAAAGGAGGCCGGGCAAGGTGGCTCATGCCTCTAATCCCAGTCAGAAGTTCAAGACCAGCCTGGCCAACATGGTGAAACCCCATCTCTACTAAAAATACAAAAATTAGCCAGGCGTGGTGGTGCACAACTGTAGTCCCAGCTACTTGGGAGGCTGAGGCTGGAGAATAGTTTCAACCCAGGAGGCAGAGGTGGCAGTGAGCTGAGATCGTGCCTTTGCACTCCAGCCTGGGCAACAAGAGCAAGACTCTGCCTCAAAAAAAGAAAAAGAGGGTAGCAAGCATTCCATTATTTCAGAAGTGTCTGGGACCTACCACCTAGGAACCAGAACCTCTAGGGTGCTTTGAGACCTTAACATCTAGCACAGGGCCCAGCACATATTCTGTTGAACCGAACAGGCTGAGTGCCTTGGCATGACTAAGTTAGATCCACAGAAGTAGGCTGCAGAGTTCCTTCTAGCTGTCATCAAGATTCAGAGCTTGCCATAGGTGCAGTCAGCCCGTCTGAATTTGCCTCTGGATCCTCCAGCTTGGGCCATCAAAGTGCAATTGCCGTGGAAGCAGCAGACAATAACGGGGTCTACGCTTGCCTATGAGCACTTCCCTTCATGGTACCCTTTTCAGTCGCCCCAGTGGGAACTTTCCTTCTGGTGGTTTCTTAACCTCCACTTTTTCCCCTTCTCGTTTCTTCACCTGCAGAGGCTCCGGGGGAACCTTGGGGACTTCTTTGTGGGCTGCATCTTCACGGCAGAACTGAGCACGCCATTCGTGTCGCTGGGCAGAGTTCTGATTCAGGCACGTATAAACACAGTGGCAGGAACTGCGCATGCAGGAGGGAGGGAGTGGATCCTGCTTTTCCTTGGGAGATGGTGGGATGTGGAGAAATCCCTGCTGCTAGAAGAGTCGGGTAGGAGATCCTTCCACAGACTTCAAGGTCAGCTGGTCCTCTGAGTCAGTGGGATGAAATTGTACGTTTGATCTGAGTTTGATACAGTTCATTCTACTTTTTCCCTGGTCACATACGTTCCTCTAATCCACTGTTCCCGTCAGCTGGGTGGCCTAGATGAAATTCAACATCACTACCGGGAAAAATGAGGTTACATGCATGTATCAATATGATAGTGTTCAATAATGTTTTCGACAAATGTCAGAAAACTAGACACACGTCAGGGAGTCTGGCAGCCCCGGTCTGGGGGAGCAGCTGCACCTGCGCAGCTTTTCTGCCGTGGGACTTGGTGCAGTTGCTCCCTGACACTCAGCCTCTTGGGGACCTTCCCTTTGTCCTTCCTATTCTGCAGCTAAAGCAGCAGCACACCCTTCTGTACAAGGTGAACGGAGTCCTCACACTGGCCACCTTCCTTTGCTGCCGGATCCTTCTCTTCCCCTTCATGTACTGGTCCTACGGCCACCAGCAGGGACTAAGCCTGCTGCAAGTGCCCTTCCACATTCCCTTCTTCTGCAATGTGGCCAATGCCTTCCTCATCGCCCCTCAGATCTACTGGTTCTCTCTGCTGTGCAGGAAGGCACTCCGGCTCTTTGACACTCCCCAAGCCAAAAAGGATGGTTAAGTGCTCCCAGGAGTAGGGCAGTAAGGGTGCAGCCTCACACCAGCTGCCTCCTCTGCTCAGTATTCCGTGGACCAAACTGTGCCCTGGATGGTCTCAGACTTTTGGGTATTGATAAGCAGATGGATTGTAGTTTTTCTAAAGAATATTCATATTACCTCCTTCTTCTAACCTGCCCCATTTGCAAAAGCACTTTTGTAGTAACACCTATTGGGTCCTGCCAGGCTTCCATGGGCAGCAAGGTGGCTTTCATGCAAGCCAAAGGATCCTTCTTTGGGTCTTATCTCTAGAGCTCTGGGAGGTAGAAGCATGGGGTGTGCTCAGCGGACCAGGGTGATAAGTGTCTGGGCATGGGCCTGTCCCTGTATCGGCGGCTACCCACCTTTCCAACCACTCAGGTCAGTACCCATGGTTCTGGGCCAGCAGAAGCAAGTGGTGACTGCTTGTGACACTGGCCTGGGAAAATCATTATGGGTAGGTAGTTTTTGTTTACTAGATAACCCACTGGTTCTTTGCCTCATCCTCTCATCCATGGGTCAACGTTGAATTCTCACATCTACTGACTTCCAGTCAGAATTCTCACTGGTGGAGCTGGGGTTGGGCAGGCCAGAGGCAGGGATGGGAACCTGAGTGGGTACTGTAGCCAAGTCAGCACAACCTTTGCAGGCTGACTTGGTAAGACCAGTGTCAACCTTGTGAGCTTACTGCGGGCAGTCACAAACACCATTCTTATTAACATGTCCCTTCGTGCCCAGCTTTCCCCATATCCACATGCAGAGGACACGCTTGTAAAAACTACAGGGGCAATGTGAAATGATGGCTTTGGTAGCCATTTAATGGGTAACCCCACTCCATGACACTGTCCTTTTCATGTGATGTGGAAACCAACTTCTATACTCCAAACCACAAAATGTCTCGTCTAGACTGCAAAGTACTTAGCCTCCTGATGAGCCAGAGCTTGGGGTGCAGAGCCCGTTCCTGTGTGAGTGTCCTGCCATTTAGCCACAGAAGGCTGCAGAGCAAGGGGGCAGCCAGCCTGGCCAGAGGCCGTCCTGTGGACCGACACCTGCACCTCCTTCTGCAAACGGGATTTTCTGGTGCCAACACTAATCATTCCCTGTCGACTAGGATGAGTTTGAGACTGTGCTCAAGTGTAGTTTAAAACGTGGTTTTTTAAAGTGCCTTTTAATTCATTGTCTGTGAACTTGTAAAGGACTGAATGATCTGTCTCATTTTGACTATTTAGTCTTTAATGGGTGCCATTTAAAAAACAAAGTGCTATTAATTTTTTTAACTGTCTTTTTTTAACTATCAGTGTATCTTTGAAAGTCACCCTTCTGGTGATTAAATTGCACTAACATTCCCAACTTACTCTCATTTGTGAAGTACATCAGTACCAGTTTCATTTAAGAATCATCCTGTGACCCCTGCCCGCCCCCCCCGACCTGCCACCAACTGGCTGCTGTGTGCTATAGTTCCATGTTGATGTCCATGTAACTAACAGAGGGGTTTGGTGTGTGAATGCTTTCAGCCTCCAGAGGTCCAGCTCACACGTCACTCAAACCTATCGCTGTGGTTCCCAGAGTTCAAGTGTAGTGGTCACATGTAACTGGAGGCCCTTTCTTCTGGTCCTAAGTGAATTCTGTTAGGAACTGGGAGAGTCAAAGCCTGGTTACTGGTCACAGAGCCAAGCCTGCTTTAGTTGGGGGAGAGAACCTGAGTAATGCCCATTTTGAAGGAAGTTGTGTGGATGGAGATAGTGATGGGACATAATCTTTCCCCTTTTCATCTCAAAATAAACATGTCCCCAGCCCATTCTCAGTTTCCTAACACCCGAGACACCTTAAACTCATTTTTTCTTTATGTAGGGACAGCTATCTCTGTTGCCCAGGCTGGTCTCAAACTCCTGGCCTCAACTGAGCCGCGGAAAACACCGGGATTATTACAGGTGTGAGCCACCACCATGTCTAGCCCACTTCTCTCTCTATATATATATATATTTTTGAGATGGGGTCTCACTTTGTCAGCCAGGCTGGAGTGCAGTGGTGTGATCTCAGTTCACTGTAGCCTCGACCTCCCAGGATCAAGTAATCCTGCTGCCTTAGCCTCCTGAATAGCTAGGACTACAGGTGTGTCACCACACCCAGCTAATTTTCTATTTTTTTTGTAGAGATATGGCCTCCATATGTTGTCCGGGCTGGTCTCAAGTGATCATTCTGCCTCTTATTGTCCCAGCTGCTCAGGAAGCTGAGGCAGGAGGATCACTTGAGTCCACGGGTTCAAGGCCAGCCTAGGCAACAAAGACTGTAAGCAGTCCTCAATTCAGAGGGGACCTACTTTGCTGAGGTCATTAACCTAGCCCCTTGTCACTCAGTTTATCTTGGTCCTCCAATCCTCTCATTTTAGAATTGTGCAGGCCTCTTGGGCACAGCAATCTCATGGCCAGAGGCAGAACCAGGGCTGGAGTAGATTCTTTTCCAAGCTGCTGTCCTTTCCAAGATACCTCATGAAAAAAATATTAAAATACAAAATAACTCTTGAAGGGGGCTGCACATACCCTGTCATGCTTTTTCAACTCAGACGGTTTTAACTTGGGGCTTATTTGCCAAAATCTAGGATGGAAAAGTCCAGTTATGGCCGGGCGTGGTGGCTCATGCCTGTAATCCCAGCACTTTGGGACGCCGAGGCAGGCAGATCACGAGGTCAAGAGATTGAGACCATCCTGGCCAACATGGTGAAACCCCGTCTCTACTAAAAAAATACAAAAATTAGCTGGTCATGGTGGCGCGCGCCTGTACTCCCAGCTACTCGGGAGGCTGAGGCAGGAGAATTGCTTGAACCCAGGAGGCGGAAGTTGCAGTGAGCCGAGATTGTGCCACTGCACTCCAGCCTGGCACCAGGCAACAGAGCAAGACTCTGTCTCAAAAAAAGAAAAAAAGAAAAGTTCAGTTATGAACATGTTCCTCTGGGCTGAATTCAATCTCGAAGACACTAAACTCAATTCCAGAGCATACATAATTAATCCTGGGCTATTGCTGCGGCAGACTTAGACAAAGTGAGATGCAAAAGGGAATGTTTATTATAGTTTGTACATTATAAATACCTAAGAAACTATTTTCTTTACACCATTATTGCCATGATTTCCTGTAGACAGTTTCACGCAGCTGTAAAGTCCGTGCTGCGTGGGTCTGGCCCCTATGGACCCGCCATGTTGAGCGCCAGCTTTTCTGCTACAGGCCAAGGTCAGAAGCTGCTGATCTTCTGCAGCAGGGTCTGGCGCCGCCCCTCGGGGCTGATGTTCTCAGCAATGGACTTCAGGAAGCGCTGCTCGTTCACCTTCTGGAGCAAGGAGGTGACAGAAGGGTTGGCCTTGCTCAGAGTCTCATAGCAGGTGAGAGTTTCCAAGGCTAAAACATACAGTGGCTCACAGACCTCCTGGTGGAGCATGGCCATGATGTGCAGAGCGTGACAGAACACCTGGGTGTAGACAAACAGGGCTTCCTGGGTCAGGTCCTGCTCTTGTCCCTGTGCCCAAGGGCTGACTGACTGTATCAACCTGACTGAGTCCAGGAGGCTGGTCAGACTGCCACACAGGAGTCTGACCACGTGGTTCCAGCCTTCCAGAGGAAGCCAATTTTGACAACTCTGGCTACAGAGAAACTGGAAAGTCCTCAGGAAGAGTACAGAGAGCTGGAGCTCCTGGGCAAAGGGCTTCAGGTTGAGCAGAGGAACAAACTGAATATACTCCAGGCTATATGGCACATGGAGCAGCTGTTTCTCCAGCAGCCTCCTGGTCAACTGGTGAAGGTGCTGCCACTCTTGAGGGCTGCACCAAGGCATGACTTGCACCAAGGCCACAAGAAAGCCTTTGCTGAACAACCTGACCTCCTCAGGACTACCCACATCCACCACCAAGAGAGACAGCATCCTCTCTGAGAGGCTGCTGGAGACACAGCAGCACTCCATCCAGGCCAGGAGCCCTGTGCCTGGCCCATACCCTGGGTGGGCCTGGGAGGTCCACTCATCCTCAGAAAGCTTACAGATCTCAAAAAGTGTGGCTGGCACCTCACACTTGAAGTGTCCCTCAAAGAAGGTCTTCAGTCTCAGGCCCACAGTCCAGTCGAGTTGTTCTAACTTGCGGTGGAGCCAGGACAGGGACTTGATCCAGGCGTCCGGGGAGAAGGTCTCGGCATTGGCTAATACGATCTCACACAGGAGCTCCAGGATATGGGCCGCCAGATCCTTCCTCTGCAAAGACAAACGCCGCTTCTTCTTGGGGAGCTGCCAGTACTTGCTGAAGCTGTCTAGAAGCTGGCACAAGCTGAAGAGGAGTGGGAATGGGGAGCAGGCCTGGAGCCAGTATTCCTCCAGGCATGCATTTGCTTCTAGAGTCTGGAGGAAGATCTTCAGACTGAGGTCCACCTCTTCAACATCTAACATCAAGAATGACAGGACAAATTCCTTCAGCACCTCATCTGGTTCAAGCAGAGCAGCCACTGGAATCCCCTGGGGCTTCACGGGATTCATCAGGCAGTTCAGGAGCTCCAAAAATTGCTTTTCCTCCTTGGGTGTAGAGAACTTCACCCAGACAGTTTCTTTGAGGCACGACACCATAAAAGTGGTAGATGAATTCGGACCCTGCTCTTCCACAAACCGAAGGGCAGGGAAGGCGGTGAGAATCTGGGCCAAGAACTTGTGGGTGCCGAGATTGACCACAGCCAGGCTGCAGATTTTCTTCACCGTGGCTTCCGGGTGCACTATCATCAGGCGGGCCACGGAGGCCACAGCTTTTGTCAAGCCCTGCTCGGAGGCACTCTGAGTGAGCTGGTTTAAGGTCGTATTGAGGTCTTCTGGAAAACTCTCCACGTAGGCCAGCAACTTTTCAGACAGGCCCTTTTTCCCCCAGGAATGCAGGATGCCTGCAAGGACTTTGTTTTTGTCTGGCAGGGAGAGGTCTGCATAACATTCCAGGACTGAGTGGAGCACTTGCTGGATCTGAGGCTTGGGGACGGCTCTGTCAGTGGTGCTGGCATCTAGGACTGTTTCCAGCAGCCTCAACACCAAGTCTGGCTCCCTGAAGAGTGCCCTGTTACTCAGCAGGCAGGCTATCCACTCGTCTGAGAAAGCCCACTTCTTCTCAGACGCAAAAATGTAGCACATTTCCATGTGACGGTCCATCTTCTGCTGGATGATGGCCATAGCAATGGAAGCCGTGATGTCCTGGGAGCCCCTGTTCTTCAGCACCCTGCTGGTTTTGCTCAGGAAGTCCCTGACACACTCTGCCAGCTCAGAGGCCACCTGCCTCTCCTCCTCGGGCAGGCTGGCACGGTTCAGGTAGAGCGCCAGGTTCTGGCTGAAGGAAGTCAGACTGTCGCACAGCCGGTAGCTGTCATAGCTTGTGCCCTGGCTGCTGCAGAGCGTGGCTTGCAGCTCCTCCCCCCACTCCCCCAGCAGGGCGCGCATCAATTCCAGGCCCGCGAAAATCGTCTCGCTGGGGAGTTTGGCCAGTGAGGTCAGGCTGACATCCCGTTCTGCCTCCTTCACCTTCTCCGCCAGCGCCTGTTGGTGGTATGGGTTCTGGGTGTCTGAGTTCCACACAGAGATCACCGTGGCCAGTTTGTCCAGATACACGGTTGCGGACACCTCCTGGGGGTCGTCCTCGGTCAGTGCAAACACGCTCAGCATGTCGGCCAGGTTGGCCAGCGCACAGCACTTCCTCCCTGTGCCCAGGATCCGACTCTGGATCTGCACCAGCCCGCGGAGCAGCATGGCCAACAGGGGCATGGTGGGGCACACATCCGGCTCTGACCTCAGCCTCTTGGGAGGACGGGGGAACTCATCTAAGACAGGCAAGTACTTATGGGCCATTGCGCTGAACTGGGAGAGCAGGGGGTCCTGCGGATTACCCCGGTGCTTCATCATTTCCCTCCAGACATCCAGGAAGAAGGCCACGTCCTCGGAGGACGTGTCAATGCTCACGTGCTCCAAAAAGCGCTCGAGTTCTGCGCAGCAGACAGTGGTGGGCAGGGCCATCAGGAGCTGGATAAAGAGTCCAGAAGCTTCTAGGGACTTGAGCAGCTCAAAGAGGACGGTGTGATTAAGGGTGGGGATCATGTTGCCCACTGAGAAGAACACATCTTCCTGCCACCGAGTGTCCGTGTCGGAAGAGGTCACAGGCTGGGGCTGCAGAACCTTGGCCCAGATGATGATCAGAGCTTTCTTCTTCCAGGCAAAGGGCTGGGAATGTGCTGCAGCCGAGGAGATCTCCTGCAAGGCCTCCACGATGGGCCGCCCAACATGCTCCCAGTCAGACTTGGTCAGTTCTGTCAGAGCTTTGGGGTGGAACAGCTGCTCAGCCAGCAGGAAGCCTCCGTGCAGAATAGTCGTTTCCTCACAGATGTTCAAGGGTCCTGCACAGAGAAGCCAAGTAAGACAGTATAGTGCGAATGTCTCAAGACGGTCACTGCAGTTAGGAGGCTGTCAGGGTTAGAGACGACGAGGGTTTTAGACATCCATGAAGGGGAGAAGAAGGGATGGCTACCAGAGCCACTGCAGGGCTGGAGGCTGAACTTAGCCGAGGAATCCAGAATGACTTCCAAGCTCTCTAGCCTGGGAACTGGGAGGACCCCGGGTGGCGTCACATACAGGGAAGGAGGAGAATCGGAACAGGTTTGAGAAGAGACAAGCTCGATTTTGGCTATCAAGGCACAGATGTCCTCCGGCAGTGGAAATGCCCGGTGCAAGTTGAGGAGAAAAGCCAGCTGGGAAATGTGATTCTGGATTTTGGCTATCAAGGAGCAGATGTCCTCCAGCAGTTGCAATGCCAGGTGGAAGTTCAGGAGGGAAGTCAGCTGGGAAATGTGACTCTGAGAGGCATCTGCCCAGAAGGGGATCACTGGAACCAAGAGAGAATGAGATCCCTCAGGAAAAGTAAAAAGAACAAGCTGGGCTGCTGAGGGCAAACCCTTCAGCAAAGGATGGGCCAGAGGAGGATGTGGGGAGAGAGGTTTAGAAATAGAGAACACGAGGACAGTACAAACGACAGGAGCCACTGAGCACGTACCACAGGACATGACAGCTGAGTTTCTCATGACAGATGAAGGGGGGAGAGCCACAATCACACAGCCACAGGCTAATGGGCAGAGCAGCAATCACACAACCACAGGGTAATGGGCACAACCACAGGGTAATGGGCACAGCCACAATCACACAGCCACAGAATAACGGCCCAGCAGCAATCACACAGCCACAATCACACAGTCACAGGGTAATGGGCCACAATCACACAGCCACAGGGTAAAGGGCACAGCAGCAATCACACAGCCACA